GCCCCCTCCGCGGTGGCGGCAGACGGCCCTCGTTGCTGTCGGAAGACGCCAACTCTCCGGGGCCCCTCGGCCACCCACCCCCTGTGCCCTCCGGTGGCGAACCGAGCAGTCAGACATGACCCGGCCCTGGCCGCAGACTGGGGTGCGAATCCCAAGCGGGTCATGGAGCAACCCCAGCCACAATGGCTCTGGTGGTGGCACAAGGCCTCCGCAGGCCCTGGGCTGGTGGCGAGGCTCCGAGTGGCCCTGGCACCTGGCCGGGCGAGTCCCTGCTAGTGCCACCCCGGCACATGGGGCTGCCCCTCCAGTCCTGGCCTTGCCAGCCCCGTGACCCCTGGGACCACAGGCGGAGTTGGGTTGGGGACAGCAGTGGGGAGGGCCTCTCCCGGGGTGGCCCCGCTGCAGCGAGGGCCCCCAGCCGAGCCCGCCCCACCCAGGGACCGAGGTCCAGGTGCCCGAGGCCCTGCCCTGAGCATGGTTCTGCTCACCATCCTCCCAGCCGGTCCTCCCTGCCGCACGCCCTTCCTGAGGCCACCGCCTGCCCCCCTGCCCGCACCCACCCACGGCTGCAGGCCGCCCCCCCAGCCGTGGACACCCCGGGCACCCCCTGGTCCATGCCCCTCCCCTCCATGGGAGGCAGGGGCCGGGCCCACCGGCGTGGGCGTGTGCATGGGTGCGCGAGGGGCCCAGCCCTCCGGGGTGGAGCACCCCCCACCCCGCTCCCCGCCCCGAGAAAACACGACGCCGAAATCAGGCAAGCGAGAGGCAGCGGTCGTAACAGGCGGCGTTTAGTGGTTTGGTTTGGTTTTTTATGTACAAGAAAAATTATTTTTTTCTAGTTTTTCATCATCTTTTTGTCTTTTTGTTTTTTTTTTTAATTACTTTTAAAGCTTCTCCCCCCCACCCCCAAAAAGTGCATTTTTATCAATTTTTTTTCATCTCCCACACTTTATAAAGACTCTCAAATACAGCCTATGGAATGTCTGGTCCGTGCTCTGCCCCCCGGTGCCCCCCCCACCCCCACCCACCAGGCCCAGTCCCGAAGTCCAAGGGCACCTCCTGTCAGGGCCTGGGGTGGGCAGCAGGGGAACCTGGGCGTGGGGATGTGGGGACCCATCCGCAGCCTCCTGCCCCACCGCCCCTGTAAATCTGCATTTAGTGTGAACTAGGTCTAAACTCTGAGGTTCTGGCCCTGGGAGCCTGCGCCCCCAGGCCCCGACCTGCCCTGCACCAGCCCCCACCTCCGGGCAGGCTGCTTCCTCAGCTTAAATAACTTTTTAAAATAAAACTGCAAATATAAATATCTTTCTTTCTCAAAAAATAGGATTTTTGCTCTTTTTTTTTTGTTAGTTTTTTTTTTTCTTTTTTTTTTTCCTCTCGTTTTGCTTTTCGATCTGTCTCACCTCTGATTCCCGCTGTGCGGACTGCATCTGTCTGGGGCCCCCCTCGGCCCTCCGTGGGCCGTGAGCCAGGTGGCTCCTTCTGCCGAAGCCCACCGGGTTTAATAGTGCAAAGACGCCCCCCACTGCCCTCCCCCTGGGAGGCCCCGGAACGGACTAGGGGGTGGGGGCCCTCCTCAAAACGAAGGTAGGGGCAGCTGTGAACTGGGTGTTGAGACTCCGCGGCCACATCTCGGGGTCCCCTGGCTGAGCCCAGAGAGGGCAGACTTTGGTACCGCCTGCTAGAGCCTGTCTGGGCGCACAGGCCCTCGCCCGTGCCGGACGGGCCTGGCCTGGCATTTTACATTCACTGGTTTATTTCTATGTTGTATTTTTTTGCCTTTTTTTTTTTTCTCTTTAATCTCAAAGGGCAGGGTGGGGAGAGGGCTGAACGGAGCAGCCACCTGGACAGTCCTGTGCTGGGCTCGGGGGTGGGCTGGCTCCCTGGAGGGGCTCAACCACGCCGCCTCCCTGGCCCCAGGCCGCCCCTGGAGCCGCCAGCCTGGACCCCGGCCCCTCTTGCACGCGCGCACACACATCCACACTTCACCATGGCGATGGAAAGAACAATTTCACTGTTTTTTTCTTATTTTTTTTGTACCAGGCAATTAAAAAAAAAACACCCCAAAAAAAGAAAACACCAAAAAAAAAAAAAAACCCCCCAAAAAAAAAAAACCCCAAAAAAAAAAAAAAAAAGACCAAACGAAAACCCCTTTTGCTGTGTCCTTTCTGACGAACCAGCGCGACCCTCCTCGGATAATTTTGTTTCCTGAAACGCGAGAATTCAGCAGTATCTTTGGCAACACTTTATCACCTTAATTTAAAGAATAAAAATAAAATCGATCCACGTTTATATACAGTATGATTGCCAGAGGTGGGGGGCGGGAGGCTGGGCGGGGCTGGAGGGTCCCGGGTCTGGGCGCATGCAGAGGCGGCCCCCAGGACGGCGGCCCCCAGGACGGCGGTTAAGGCAGAGCGGGCGGGCGCGGAGCTGAGCTCGGAGCTAGGGGCGGGGGGTTAGTGCAATTCCCATCTATCGCAGCCCTGTCCCCTCGTCTCGGAGGGCGCTGTCCCCCCCGCCTGGCTGCCCTCACTGACCTTTTAGTTGGTTTTATTGCGAGGGGCTGCGTGGAGACAGGGCAGAAGGCTCACCGCTCGGGAGACCTCTCTGGAACTCGGGGTGCCTGGCCCGGCGCTGGGACTCCATGCTCAGCCTGGACAGCCGGTCAGGTCTCCAGGACATCAGGGTGTGAAGGAGGCCGGCCCGGGAGGAGGACCCTGAGACATTTGGAGGAGCTGGCAGGCTAGGGGCAGGGGTACAAGATCTATGCTGTGGCAAGTGTGAAAGTTGCCTTAAAAAGCTTCCCTTTAAAAACCAAAGAAAAAGAGGAGACCTCTGTCACAGAGGAGGGGGTGCGGGGACAGGCCAGCGGCTGGGGGGCTGGGGACACCCCTCCCTGGGCGTCAAGAAGGGTCTCAGCTGGGCAGAGGTCCTATTTACAGGGGCCCGCTAGGCGTTGCATATGCGAGAGGGTGGAGCGAGGGTGTCCTGGCCTCTGGCGAGATTGTCACCCCAACCCGGCCCCTGTCCGTGGCCAAGGCTCGGCTGACGCCGGGCCCTTAGGGAGCCAGAGATGGGGGAGGCAGGTGCCAGCCCCCGGTTACAGTCAGTGCCTTTGTAAGAAGAGGGGTGCTGGGGGATAAGGCCCTGGAAGTGGGGGCTCCCCATCACCCACCCCGATGGGCCATGTAGGGTGGCCATGCTGGAAGGTGAGTCCTGAGGGTGGGGGACGGGGCTGGGGCAGGGCGGGCTGCTCAGCCTGGCTGGGGGGACAGCCCTCTCTGCGGAGGAGGGGGGCCCCGAGGACAGAGACGGCCATCGGCTAGCGGGCCGTCAGCTTTTAGGAATCTCTTTTGCTCTCGCTCTCTCTCTCGCTCTCTCTCGCTCGCTCGTTTTTTTTTGTCTTTTCAACTTTTCATAGAAGTTGGTTGCAACTTGTAAACATTTTAAATTAAGAATTAGGATAAAGTGTAGTACCCGTTCCGATACAAAGTGCCAAGACGGCTAATGGTTGGCTGCCTTTTTCTTTTTTTCTTTTTCTTTTTTCCTTCCTCCCGTTTTGTAAAACCTGGTTTATTGCTTTGTGACTCTGGGACTTCCGGACGCTCCCTCTCCCGTCCCTGCCATCCTGAGACCCTGGGTCCCCTCCGATCTCGGCCAACCCACGCTGCTCCTCTGAGGAAAAGTATACTTTATATATATTTATATATATATATCTATATATAAATCTGGATTTTAAGGAGGAAAAGGGGGTGGAAATCTAAAAAGTGCTTTAAAAAGTTGGGAGGCGGTTTTGAGGGGACAGGGTGAAGACGGAAGATTTGAACCTCTAAACATGGGGGTCTGGGTGGCCGGGGCAGGGAGGAGGTGGGGCGCCCTGAGGGGTGGTCCCGGGGGTCCCGCCAGTTGTAAGTGCCGTGAAGGGAGGCGGCGGGCGCCCCCGGGGCCCCCCTGGGG